TGAACGCGCCTCTGACAAGCATGTTGACTGGGGATAATGCGGATGAAGTGTTAGACATATTAACAGCTACTGAATCACCCGAATGCCATACGTGTTGCAGTATGTAGCATTAATATATGTATTTGTATCTGTTTTCTTTTTAAATTAAAAGAAAATATATAGAAATATAAATTTACAATAATCAATAATTTGTTAATCCAAACAATACGAAATCTCCAAGAAATCAGAGACATTCTTATGTAAGATTCACACCTTGTCCGACATATGATAATCCAATATCCAAGAGGAAACTTTACTTTTTGTGATTATTAGCTTAGAAACATTATTATTGTCAGAGAACAAAAGGAAAACAAACTTTTTTATTAGATATCAGATATCGTACCTGATGTGAATCCAGCATTAGAATGACCTGAAAACATCTTTTGGATCTATACAACATCTTTGGAGATCTATATTACATGGGTTACGCGACATTATGCCGAAAACTAGATGGGGAATATGTTGATACCAACGAAAACCCCTGGGTAGCAGAACATTAAATCTGTGAATTAGCAACACTATTAAAGTTGTAAATCTTCATGAATTCGCGGATAAGCAATGGCGTAGGGACACTAAAGTTAGGTGCTTCCAGCCACATATTGAAGTCTTGAATGAGTTCGCGGAGTCTCTTGACATATACGTGTGTACATATATATAAAATAATAAACAGTGTAGGACGAAAAGTGCACAGAGACATTTAATTAAAATTGAAAATTAAGTAAATAAATAAAAATAACACAAATAAATAAAAATAAAATGCATAGAGAAGAATAAGTTGAAAAATATAAGAGGATCTTCTTATATTTTTCACCTTATTCTTCTCTATGCACTTTATTTTTATTTATTCGTGTTATTTTTATTTATTTACTTATTTTTCAATTTTAATTAAATGTCTCTGTGCATTTTTCGTCCTACACTGTTTATTATTTTATATATATGTACACACGTATATATCAAAAGACTCCGCGAACTCATTCAAGACTTCAATATGTGGCTGGAAGCACCTGACTTTAATGACCCTACGCCATTGCTTATCCGCGAACTCATGGAAATTTACAACTTCAATAATGTTGCCAATTCACAGATTTAATGTTCTGCTCCCCAGGGGTTTTCGTTGGTACCAACATATTCTCCATCTAGTTTTCGGCATAATGTCGCGTAACCATTACATGAAGCGCGGAAACGCGGAAGACAAAATCTTATGGCTCCTGCATACAGGACGCGGTAATGCTTGCCGCGCGGCGGAAGTCCACGCGACAACCAATCAATATGTCGCTTTTCCGTAAGAGCTAGACGGTTATTACGGAAAACAGCATATTGATTGTCTGTCGCGCGAACTTCCGCTGCGCGGCAAACATTACTGCGTCCTGCGTGCAGGAGCCATTAATAAATCCGCTATGCGTTCTGTTTTGATTGCCTTACATTATATGAGGCATATTTTGAGCGGAAAAGTGGTATGGGGAATTATAAAATATTAATTTTTAACGGTATTTATTAATTAAAATGTTTATATTCAACAGATAAGCTGAAAACATAAACATCCCATACAGCACAGATCTTGTAGCAATATTGCTGCAACGTTGTAGCAATGTTAAAAGTTGCAGCAGTGTTGCCGCAATGTTACTGCAATGTTGCTGCAAGATCTGTGCTGTATGGGATATTAGTAAAAATTGCAGTAAATTAAGTTAATACAATTTTAAAAAATAAATACAGATGTTTATTTGTTACCAAACCGTTCCGCTTTTCCGCGCAAATTGTGCCCCATGTAATATAAGGAGAAATAAAGTCGCGGAACAAGCGTGGAAAAATCAATTGTCACAAGTTGTCATAAGTTATCACAAGTTGTTCAACTTAACCGCCGTTATATTAAGACGTGTTCAAACACGTTCGGACCTGATATTTTTTTGGAATTCATACCTTGGATGAAAAAACAATACAGAAAAGTTTTGGGCCTTCCGCTTTTCCACTTTTTCAACGTACGGGAAGAATTGATTCAATTCGCGGAACGCGGAAATCTAGTAAGATTTTGTCTTCTATGTTTCCGGGCTTCATGTAATGGGTACTTCCGAAATACCCAGAGTTGGGTCGAGTTGAGTTAGTTCCACT